TATTCAAGTGGATGATGAGAAAGTGAAAGCCATCAAGGATTGGCCAACTCCTACAAATCCCTCTGAGGTGAGATCTTTTCATGGCTTGGCTAGTTTTTATAGGAGGTTTGTAAGAGATTTCTCAACAAAGGTTGCCCCTTAAAATGATTTGGTCAAAAATAATGTGAAGTTTGAATGGGGTCCTTCTCAAGATGAGGCATAATGGACTTCAACTTGATTTAGCAACTGCACCCGTACTTGCATGGCCTGATTTTGGAGAGTTTTGAAGTTGAATGTGATGCATCTGGTATAGGTATAGGTGCCATTAGTTAATGGAAGAAAGGCACCCTATTGCATATTTTAGTGAGAAGTTGAAAGGAGCTCATTTGAATTATCCTACTTATGACAAAGAGTTGTATGTTGTTGTGGGTGCTTTAGAAACTTGGCAGCATTATTTGATGCCCAGGAAGTTCATTATTCACACTGATCATGAATCACTAAAGCACATTAAAGCACAAAGTAGGTTGAACAAAAGGCATGCTAGATGGGTTGCGTTCATTGAAACTTTTCCTTACGTCATTAAGTACAAACAAGGAAAGGAGAACATTGTCGCTGATGCGTTGTCTCGTAGACATGCTCTCCTCACGAAACTTGGTACTAAATTGATGGGCTTTTAGTTCATTGAAGATTTGTATGATAGTGACCCTGATTTTTCGAGGGTATTTGGTGCATGTGAACAAGTTGCATTTCATAAGTTTTTCAAACATGAAGGATATTTGTTCAAGGAGTCAAAACTATGTGTGCCAAAGTGTTCATTGCGTGAGTTACTAGTTCGAGAAGCACATAGTGGAGGTTTGATGGGACAGTTTGGTGTTCACAAAACTTTGGACATATTGGTTGAACATTTTTATTGGCCTGGGATGAAACAAGATGTTACTCGTATTTGTGAAAGATGCGTTGAGTGCAAAAAGGCAAAATCCAAATCCAATCCTCATGGGTTATACACGCCACTCCCAATTCCATCCTCACCTTGGGTTGACATCTCGATGGATTTTGTGTTGGGTTTACCAAGAACTCTACGAGGTATGGACTCTATTTTTGTCATCGTAGATCGTTTTTCTAAAATGGGTCATTTTGTTGCATGTAGGAAAATGGACGATGCAAAGAATATCACCAATTTATTCTTTAAAGAAATTGTGCGTCTTCATGGAGTTCCTAGGAGCATTGTGAGTGATAGATATGTGTAGTTTCTAAGCTAATTTTAGAAGACTTTGTGGTGCATTTTAGGCACTAAATTGCTCTTTTCTACGACTAGTCACCCACAAACCGATGGTCAAACAGAAGTGACCAATCATACTATGGGGTCACTTTTAAGGGCTGTTACTGAGAGTAATTTGAGAGGTTGGGAAGAATGTCTTCCCGTAGTAGAATTTGCTTATAATAGGGTTGTTCATTCATCAACCAACTTTTCCCCTGTCGAAGTTGTTTATGGCTTTAACCCTCTTACTCCTTTGGATTTGTCTCCTTTGCCACTAAAAGAACAAGTTAGCTAGGATGGTGAAAAGAAAGCCAATGTAATAAAACGTCTACATGAAAAGGTTTGTGAGAACATTGAGAAGAAGACAAAGCAATACGCTAAACAAGCTAACAAAGGGCGTAAGCATGTCGTTTTTAAACCAGGAGATTGGGTTTGGGTTCACCTAAGAAAGGGAAGGTTCCCTGCATCTAGAAAAACGAAATTACACCCTCGTGGAGATGGCCCTTTTCAAGTCATGGAGTGTATCAATGACAATGCCTACAAGTTAGATCTTCCGGGTGAGTATGGTATAAGTGCTACTCTTAATGATACTGATCTATCCCCTTTTGTTTTTTATGAAGGTGTTGATTCGAGGACGAATCATGCCGAAGAGGGAGGGAATGATGGGGATGAAAGAAGGAAAAGCGAGGAGCATGAATTAAATTTTGACAAGGATGTTTCAAACAATCATCATCATAAAATGCTTTTAAGTACATGGTTGGGCCAATGACAAGAGCTAGGAATAAAAGCATGAAGGAGGCCCTCAAGCAATTTGTCAAAGAAGCCCAAGAAGAGTCCTAGTTACAAGAAGTCAGTCCCAAGATCATGACTACTTTGTTGGTCAAAGATGGAGCCCATGATAAATAATTCTAGAAGGTTTGAAACAATTAAATATGTAGTCTTGATTAGTGCTATTTTGAATGCTACATCAAACATGGATAGTTTGAAAGTATAAGATAGTTAATAAAGCCTTTTTGTTTGCCATCCTCTTCATCTACAAATAGAAGGATTGGTTCTCATTGTAAGATCATCTTTTCTTGAAAATACATTGAGAGGTTTATCCTTTACATATATATTTTTTTTTGATTAACCTGGATATCCAACCCGCTATGCAAGTCGACTAATCCCAGGGCAACCACCTGCTTTGCAGATAGCCCTCGAGTGTGGCATCTTTAGCTTTCCTTCTTCATTTACTTATTGTTGTTTAAGGGTCTTAGTTCTCATAACTAAGGTTCTTAATCCATATTCATTTGAAGGGTGGAGTTTTAGTTAAGGTTCTCTCTCACAAGTTGAGTTTGGGTCTTAACTCCATTGAAAGATTCTTCAAACAACTTCTATCACTCGGATCACTCATAAGTGTTTCATCCHAATTTAGAAAATCAAGTCGTTGGTTATCCTTTACATGTTGGGTCGTATCACTATCACTGGTTTGTCTTTATTGGGTCTCTAGTCTTCAGCACTTGAACATTTTACAATACTTTTACATGTAAGAATTCTGGGGTCTAACAGGGAGTGTAGATATTAGGATATCAATTAGGTCTAGAATAAGGGGTATTGGGATCCATCAGGAAGGAGTTTCCTTATTATGTAATTATTTTTTGAAGGGTCTCCTACTTGTAGTCTGTTTCTTAATTTCCTTTTTCTTAGGTGGTAGCTTGGTTATTAATAGGGTTCCTTGTATTATGTTTTTCATAAGAGCGAAATATATTATTAAGCTTTCACTTACTATAATTCTCTCAAAGCTTTTAGAATGCAATAGGTCTATCATCCTATGTCAATACTGCTCCAACTCCACTTCCCTAGGTGTCTGTTTCAGTCATAAACGGTTTAGAGAAATCTGGTAAAGCCAACACTCGGTGCTTCCATTGAAGCTCGCTTCAACTTCTCAATTTCGGTAGCCTCGACATTTTACTCGAACTTATTTTTCTTCAACAAATCCTTAAAGACCTTGCTATTTTTCTTCAACAAATCCTTAAAGATCATTCCCTTATTCAATGCACGGTAGTCAATACAAAAACGCCAACTACCATCTTTTTTTAACCAGCAAAGTCGGGCTAGAAAATGCACTTTGACTATGTTGAATGATCCCTGCCCAAAGCATCTCGCGTACCATTTTTTCCATCTCATCTTTCTGATACTGTGGATAGCGATAACGCCGAATGTTCACCGGTTCCATTCCCTCCTTCAAGATAATCCCATGTTTTTTGCCTCGTTCAGATGGACATTGGAATACGCCTCTGAATGATTCTACACCTCAATCTCCTCCGGACAAGCCTCGTGTTGACTCCTTTACACACCCCATATCCTTGCTTCACCCGCTTCCAGTGAAATCTTGTACCCCTCTGTTGGTCATACTTCCAGCCCTGTTTTTTCTACCAAGCTTGTCGAAATGAAATTGTGAGAGGCTCTGCTATCAATCAACATCACAACAAGTTGCTCGCCAACCCATCCCTCCAATTTCATCATCTTGGGCATTGGAAAACCTGCCACTGAATTCAAGAAAATCTCTACTCCTTGTTCTTGAAGCACATTGGCAAGTTCGGCGGCTTCGGGATCCCTTCAATCTTCCTCTTCACCTACTCTAAAATCTGCTTCTTGTACTACAACACTCAACTCTTTTTTGACATCACTGGCCGGGAGAATACTTCTTGCCACGCCTTAACACAAACCTAGTTGTTGATGCTATTTTAGCTCCTTGTCCGACAATTTCCGAAATTCCCTGCCCTTAAGCACCGTGCCCCCTTTTCCAACACCTACCGGACTAGTTTTCTCCTCCCACGATACCTCATACAACTTTTCATTCCCATTGTTCCGACCAGCACCTTTGGAACTTCCCATCCAGTTCACTGCTTCATTTATCTATTCCACCATCCCACAACCTCCATTACCTTGTTCAACCTTACTGGCGCCAACAGCCGCACCTCTGCTTTAATATAGTTTTAACCAATATTCGAGAGATTGGCCCTCTCTCAGTTGACAGAAATTTCCAGAATGCTTCTCTCCACGTTCCCTCCTACTTATATTCCCAAAAACACTGACTTAACCCCCAGAACAGACTAGTACCCCCAAAAAGACCATTCTACCCTCCCTATTTTCTTCAAGAATAGGCAAACTGTATCTCATCTATACACCAAATATTAATACATATTTTAGACTGGTCATTTTCTTTTTCTTATTTATCAACAAAAGCAATTGAACTAGAATGAACTTCAGGAAAAGTTCTACAAGTATATTATATATTATAAAAATTTGTAAGCCCAAAGATGCAACAGAAAATGCAATCATGTTGGCACAATTACAACCATGCTAGATGAGAACAAGAAAATTAACTACATCAACTTCATACAGTAGCCACTTGAAAATTCTAAAAGTAGATCATGTGAATATAGTGGGATTGCACCACTAGCCACTGCTAAATATCAAGACTTGTTCCGGTCGATGATTAAGTTATCAAATAGCTAGGACTAAAAAAACAATTGAATAACGAAATTCTTGAAAGGTACTTAGTGGGAAAAGAAAAAAAAAATCTAATAGAACTTGATGTGTGTAGGAAATGAAAAGGAGCATGTTGAAGGCAAGTTAAGAGGAATCATTTAATTTAGAAAAGACATGATTATGTGAGTGGTGAAAGGACATGACTAAGAAGCTAAAAATGTCAATCAGATGAAGAAGACATAGCAATCTGATCATTAACAATGTAAACAAACGGACATAGAAATTTTACCTGCTGCTGTTCCGCAACTAAGGAGGCAAACTTTTTCTAAAGGAGCAACTTTGCTGATTTTTACAGCGCAGCCGGAGTGAACAACTGTATACTCACTAAAACTAGAAACAGCACAATAGTGATAAACGGGCTTCTCATTGACGAAGAAGCGTGTTTTTTGATCACTATGCATTACACCCTTCCTTTCCAAGCCGAGTTGTTGGCAAATGTTGCTTCTACCAGAAATACATTGTCTGCAACTCATGCATTCTCCAATAAACAAAGTGAGGACATGATCACCTTCCACAAATTCAGTTACTTCTAGTCCCACACTCTCAACAATCCTGAAAATTAACGTAAAAAATTCAGCTAATCTTTAGTCATAGTTTTCTTCTTTTTTCTGACAAAGGTGACTTTAATGGAAAGATACAATGTTCAAAAAATGAATTTGCATAGACGGTGTTTATTGATATAGAGAAAAGACATGACTCAGTGCCAAGAAGAATTATGTGGTTGGCCCTAGAGATGAAGCAAGTTCCCAAAAGTATGGTGGTGTGATTCAGGATAAAACAGTAGAGAGCATACTTGCACGCAAGCATGTGATAAGGAGACCAATTTCGTCCCTATTAGCTTGGACAAAACTAAGAGCCAATAGAAGTATCTATCTCTTCGCTTTAGATATTGATAAAACCATGACATAGAACATGAGATCCCATGGTTTCGGCTTTTTGCCAATGATGCCATGCTAACTGATGAGACTAGATCAGCGTCAACACAACTTTGTGGTTGTCGAGAAACGCTCATAAATCCAAGGAAATAAGGTAAGCAGGACTAAAATAGAGTACAGGAAGTGCATCTTTAATGAGGGAGAGGGAGAGAAAAATGTGGTGACTCCATAAGAAGTGCCTAAAAGGGATATATTTCAATATTTTGGTTTGATACTATATAAACATGAGGGCAAAGAAATTGTGGGACAGTTAAAAGTATATGATGAGAGTAAGGTGAAAGAAATGGTAGCAAGCATGGAATTGTTATCAATTTGGGACCGTAAATCACTTGGGAATACAATCTTCTAACTGCGACCGACCCACCCTACACTAATCTTGTCAGTGATGCCCTCTCAAGGAGACATGCCATGCTTACTATTCTTTGTGCTAGAGTGCTAGGTTTTTCTCTCATCAAAGATTTGTGCATAGATGATCCAAATTTCTCTAAAGTGATTCAAGAATGAAAAGAACGATATTGTAGCCCTTATTCCGTTCAAGATGGATTTCTGTTTAAAAACAAGAAACTTTAAGGGAGAAGCCCTTGGAGGAGGATTAGCCGATCACTTTGGCATCAACAAGACCCTAGCATTCTACAAGAACATTTCTATTTTAGGCCACACATGAAAAGTGATGTTAATGCCCTCCTTACAGATGTGCACGTGTCATCAAGCCAAGGGCAAGTTCCATCATGGCTTCTAATTCCATTACCTATCCTTTTCAACCATGGGAGGACATTTCTATTGATTTCACTATGGCCTTGCTACAAACCCAATAAGGAACAGATGTTATCATGGTAGTGGTGGATCGCTTCTCCAAAATGGCACACTTTGTTCCATGTCATAAAACTAACGCCGCCATACACAATGCTATTTTTTCCTCAACAAAATTGTACGTCTTCACTGTGTTCCTAAAACATAGTTTCTGACAAGGGCGTCAAGTTCTTGAGCTACTTTTGGAAATAGTAATCAAAATTGTTGGGCGCAAAGTTGTTGTTTAGCACCGCCTACCATCCTTAAACGGATGGACAAATAGACAATCGAATAATTACCACATTCCTGAGAAGCATGGTAAGTCCTTGAAAGATTAGGATATGAAAACTAGCATTTGTTGAGTTTGCATATAACTGGTCACCATCTTATGCTACTAGTCATACACCATCTGAGGTGAAGTATAAGGTAAACCCTCTCAGACCTATTGATCTAGTACCCGTCCATAAGGGTAATGAAGTCCATTTTGAGGCAACAACTCATGCTAAAGAAATGCAGAAGATTCATATACAAGACAATGACTTTGGACATAAAGAAGGCCAACAAACATCACAAGAAGGCTCTATTTGAACCTGGAGATCTCATATGGCAACACTTAAGGAAGGAAAGATTTCCTTCAAAAAGAAAAAACACGTTAATGTCGAGAGGCGATAGACCTTACAAGGTCTTAGAAAAAGGATTGGAGACAATTCATACAAGGTGGAGTTACCAGGAGATTCAAACATATCAACAACTTTCAATATTAGGGATTTTTCTCTTATCTTGAAGATGGTCCACTAGAAGATTTGAGGGAAAATTCTTCCCACCCTAGGGCAGTTGATGCAAAATCATCCAACCGTAAAGACGATTCTGTTAGTGCAAAAGTTGCTCATTTTAAGCTCACCTTAGGCCTGATTTAGATTTTCAAGCTACATTTGGGTTCAAAACACTTGGAGGGAATAACATACTTTTCTGACAGCCCAATAGAATATAATTCACCCATAATAAGTCCAAACTTGATGCCCATTAAGAACCTTTCGGATTGACTCATTTATCGAGTCTTTATGACAATCAGATCTATTAATGTCCTTTAATGTTTTTTAGTTACTTTCAAACTCTTAATCTTTCTAAAAATTAAATGTCGCCTAAATTTTCGAGCCTTTTAATTTGGCTCCCAGGTTGTACTACAAGGACACCTCTTGATTTTGAATACACATTGGCTTGTGGAGCTACTTTGAGTTTTCTATACACAAAAGGAGTCGATTCTTATTTATTGTTAGTGTGGTGTTGTTGCTTTATCACTAATACTATTCAACTTTTGGAAATTTAATTGATCATAGTGGTGTGCAATTACTTTATCCTCGATTCAATCACTTGTTTTTTGAGTGTGTATTCTCTTAGGCGGTTTGGAAACAGGTTAAGACAGAGGTTGGTCTCTATGGTTATGCAGACTCATGGAAGGCTATTATTCATGGCTTAAATATGGGTGCTGGGGGGTCTAAGATTTTGACTCAGAAACTTTCTTTATCTGCCTCTGTGTACTTTATTTGGCAGGAGAGAAATAATAGACTTTTTGGAAACCATAAGAGATCGGTGCGGGAACTTTCTAACATTATTCGAAATGGTATCATTCAAAGGGTGGCTTGGAGGAATAGGTACAAAACCTCTTTGGTGCTCAATGATGTTCCTTAATCGGTTGAGTTTTGCAGTGATTTGGTGGTGTTGCTTTTGGTGCTGGTCCGCGATCATCTTTTTTAGCTCTTGGTTTATTTCTGTTAGTCTTTACTTTTTCTGGATGTTGGTAGCTTGGTTTGTTGTTTCCAAGTTCTTTTGTTTTGTTTTTGGACGTTGTTGTCTCTGACACTTTGTTGTTTTGCCTTTTCCGTTGTTTAATATATTGCCTGGAGTTTTTCCGCTCAAAAAAAAATACCAAATCGGTTAGATTACTTGAGTTAGCCGAATGATTAAAAAATTTCCACAGCTTTCGAGAGGCCTGGGACTCTCCCAAAACGTATTCCTACGCAATTGAATTCACAAACCAGAATCCCCTCCTAGACCACCTAGACCTGTTATTTATACCACCCCACTGCATTACCTAATTGTACTAAGGCAGTAGTGACTTGTACCAATCAACTAAATTTAACCAGAGGTATAACAATACTCGCCCCTAAATTTCCACCTTGTCCTCAACGTGAAAAATAATCAAACAGAAATTCATTCCAACAACTTACAATGCCAGCCCCATTTGCAACAACCCTAGTAGTGCCCACGTTGTCTCCGGCAACCCTGATGGATCAGCTACCCATGTTAAAAAGGCCTTCCCTGTCAATAGTTGCTTATCTTTTAAAAGATCCTAGCTTCCACAACACCATTCTTTGCATTCTCTTCTAGACTCACAACTTTTCAATATTGATTGGGATGATAACCCCTTTCACAACCATTACTTTTATGTTTCCAACCAAAATCAGCTTATGTATCCCAGTAGTAGTTGGATTGGCTAGGACAAATATACAAGGGCATACAATAACCACCATTAAAATCAAAGAGATAAGTGCAAACTCCACATAATTGTCATCCATTTTGTTCTCAACCTTTTACAAATATAATGGTGGGTTTTGCTCTCACCGTTGTCAATGAGTACCAGTACACAAGCCCTCAATAATGCCCGATGACATCATTGTTTTTTTAATTAATTAAACCCTATCACGGTTAAATGTACCTTGATTTGTGGTTTCATGACTATAGCTCCACCACCGTCCAGCAGCTCTGTATTTTCTTCCATCGAAGTATTCTCCTCTAATTTCTATATGAACTTCCCACATGAACCAGTAGGTTTCCAACCTTCAAAGCAATATGCTGCTTTTACGCTCAAATACAAATGAAATTCGTGCTCAGTTATCGGAATCCGCTTAACTTATTAAGACAGACGGCCCTTCCGTGCACAGATATAGATTCATTCTTCGTACCTGGTCCAGCCTCACAACCCTTTTAGGATTAGCAACAGCGGTGTTCTGAGAACGTAGATGATAGCGGTGAGAACAGTGACGAGTAAAGTGACAATAGCATATGCAGCTGTGTTGGTGGCTGCTTGCCAACCGTTTCAATTTTCGTCTATGTTGGCATAAATCCTGGAATAGAACTCGAGGGTTTGGATGAGGAATAGTAGGAAGACGATGGTGGAAGTTCCCGATAAACAGTGGCTGGTCAATCTCTCTAATTAATGGATGACAAAACGAGGTTCGACGTGAAAATTAGGACCTGTATTAAGTTTGTATCTAGTTCGGTACAGGTGATTGGGATTGAGCTTGGGCCAAATTAACATCATAGAATTAGGCTTGAATGTGATATCAGTTTTTTTTATTCTTCAACTGTGCCAGGATTCAGCGACCGATTTTCTTGTCGCATGTGTCCCTTACGATGGTATCAACAGTAATGCCGGAGAGAGTGGTGACAACGGTGATAGTGGCGTGAGGTGGTTGTTCATCAACTCAACCATTTCCCTTTGGCCTCAATCACCTTTTTCCTACGTTCACTATGAATGCAACCCAGAAAGTTCTTCCCTTACTGTAACGACTTCTAATTTCTGTAATTTCTCCTTTTCTTTCTCTATCCAAAATTTCTTCTTTCTTCTTTTTCCTCTCATCATTGTCTTGGTCATCGGCTCTGCTTCAATTGCTTCCTCATCCATAACAATTAAAGACTTGAAATTCAGATCTAATTTTAGATTTAGGTTTGGATCCATTTTTGAATCTGGATCTGGATTCGGATATGATATTGTATGCATTCTCAGATATGGACTTTTTCCTGTCCCAACTTTGTTGGTTCGAATTCATGTACTACTTCCAAGACTTGAATACAAGTCGTATTGAAACATCCATTTCGTCGTCCTCTTCTGCTTATCTTCTTGCAATTTGATCACCTTTTCCATCATGTTCTGGTGTACCTCCGGTTAAATGTTCTCCTTTCCGTGTACTTTATAGGAGAGACCCTCCACCTTTGATACGATATAAATCTGCTTCCTCAAATTTGCAGTCCGTAGAACAAGAATTAATGAGCAAAGATGAAATTCGGGATGAGGTCAAGATGCATCTGTTGAAGCTTCACTCAATGTAAGATGAAACAACAGGCCGACTTAAAAAGAAATGATGTTGTCTTTTCACCCCAATATTGAGTGTTCTTAAAATTACGTCCTTACCACGGAAATTCTTAGTGAAAGGTAATCATCCAAAGTTGTTGGCCAGATTTTATGGTCCCTATAAGATCTTGGAGCAGATTGGAAAAGTAGCCTACAAACTAAAGCTACCCGTGGGAGTGAAGATACATCTAGTATTTCATGTGTCGCAATTAAAGCAAGCTTTTGGCAATAATGCTTCTACAACAGAAATTCCTACCCAGTTTACGGAAGACTTGGTTCTACAAGCAAAGCCAAAGGATCTGTTAGATATTCGCCCAATTACTCAAGGCGAACCGGGCCAGTTGGAAGTTTCGGTGAAATGGAAAGGAATGTCCAAATTTGAGTCTTCTTGCATTTACAAGCTTTGTTACAGCAATTTCCTAATAATCACCTTGAGGACAGGATGAAATCTTTGGGGGGAGTATTGGTGTACCTCCGGTTCAGTTCACATATAGGAGGGGAAATTAGTGTGGTTCCTTATAATCTGTTCTGAATAAGGCCTTAGGGGTATTTCGGGTTTTCTTTTTGTTTAGGGTGTGGGAGCCTTTTTGTTGGCGGGGAGTTTCCTGTTTTGGGTATTCTGTTTTCAATTCAGTTGTAATATGAGCTTTGTTGTGGAGAGACCATGGCCTCTCGAATGCCATTGGAGTGAATTCCTTTGCATATCAATTCAATTACAAGCTTTCGACATTAGTTTATAGCATCTTTTTCATTGTCTGCATACCCTTATTTATAAACCCCAAGTGTTATGTATTTTCATTAATTTTGCCCCATGTATTCCAAATCGTCAATGCTCACTAAATCCTCGATTTGTGATGTAACGCTTCTAGTTGTCATCTTCCCATATCGTAGTGCGCTGATACCAATTTGATATACACTAATGCCAAATTGGTTGAATTACTTGAATTAGCCGAATGACTACAATTTCCACAGGCTTTTCCAAGAGGCCTGGGACTCTCCGAAAACGGTTTCCCATGCAATTGAATTCACAAAAACAAAATCCCCTCCTAGACCACCTAGACCTTTTATTTATACCACCCCACTACATTACCTACTTGTACTAAGGCAGTGGTCACTCGTACCCAATCAACTAAATTTAACCACCATTACACCGGATATAACAATACGCATCACTTTACTTGACTTGTCGAAGCTCCTTTCAAGCGACTTTCAGACAACCTTCTCTTATCTATTAGCTAGCTAGAAGCTCCTTTCAAGCGACTTTCAGACAACCTTCTCTTATCNGCGACTTTCAGACAACCTTCTCTTATCTATTAGCTAGCTAGAAGCTCCTTTCAAGCGACTTTCAGACAACCTTCTCTTATCTATTAGCTAGCTAGCGTTCCCTTGTCCCGAATGCTTCTACCATTAAAGATAAGATGCATTATTTGCTTGTTTTTCTTGCTTACTAGGTTGTAACTTCTGCAACTAACTACAACACGTCATATAACTAGCATAAGCTTGTCATCCCTTAGCTTTTGTTCGTTGTTTCCAATTTTACATGTCATGCTTAAGTCTTAAAAGCTTCAATGATTTATACTTTACACATTACATGTAGTACTTTGACTTGTAAGTTCCTTCTCCTTGTAAGCTATTTGTAAGCACTTCGCATTTTTTGTGCATATAAGAGTATATTTTAACTTCCATTATATTTCTAGACCATATGCCCCTATTTTGCATCCTTCTAAACATGATTATAGATCCAAATATCTAAGGCCTTATAATGCACATAAATGTACATTCACATCTTAGGATAAAATGCATATAGTCTTACTCATCATGTTTAGCATTTATCTTAAGGACTTAAGAGCTCTTACTTGCATACATTTCTTGATGTGCCATTGTATTGATTTTGGATCTTGCATAAACTAACTTAGGTTTCTATGAATCGAGAGCTTTTGGTACTCTACATGACCATCTTGTAGTAAACTTGCCTCCTCTTTGGGTAAACAAAACAAAGGCATGTGACAAAAAGTAATCTTGCAAGTAGTTGCTCTATTATATTTTGAAAAAACAATTAAGGAAGATAAAATATCCAAAAAGTAGAAAACAGTTGTAGAAATAAGGATGTTTAGATGGACCTATAGTCGGACCAGCCTTAATAGGATACCAAATGAGGTCTCACGCGAAATTGGGAGTGACACATTACGGATAAGTTAAGAGACGGAAAATTATGGTGGTTTCGGCACATTCGTAGGAGACAAGTGACAACTCTGCTAAGGATGGGAGAAAGTGTGACTGTCGAGGGGGAGAGGAGGGATAAGCCGAGGATGACATGGGATGAGCAATTAAGGTTAAGCATGGTGGCTATAGGCATTTCCGATGACATGACCTCTGATAGGAGTTACTACAGACGTAGGATTAGGATAGTAGACTAGAGGACTAGGGGTGCGCATCTATAGCTAACATAGATCAGGAGTTGGGGAGGTAGAGGGTAGGGTCCAATGAGTCCCTGAGTTGGCTGGCAGTTAGTTTACTATGTTGGACTAGGGTGTGTGGTTTTGCTTACCGAGGTTTTCTTGTACCTACTTCGGTTTATATGTTGTTTCTTGCTCCTTACTCGCTTTTCACTTCATCTTTTTCGCACACTTTTCGCTTTGCACAAGCCAAGGGTCTTCCTGGAGACAATTACTCTACTCCTTGAAATAGAGGTCAAGTCATCTCACCCTCCCCACACCCCACCTTCGGGTGGATATACTGCACTCGTTATTGTTTGGTTAAAAGATCCAGAAACTATACTCATAAGCATAAAATTAAAATATCACATTGCTTACAAATTTTTATATTTTCTTTTCCTCTATGTTTTTGTTTTTAAGAAAGCAAGATCGTTGATACTTACCCTGATGCTTCGTGGCCAAATATCCGAGGAAATAGCGGAGGTTGTGCCTGCAAATTGAAATTTGGTTGTTATACATGAAAATTCAAGCTAACAAGTAACAAGGACATATACAACAGTTACACAAAAAGCCTCAAAGATGTTAACAAGCACATGAGTTATCATTGTACTACATGAATCACTTGTAACATTTTTTAGTCAAGTCCATAATTTTATAACTAATAATACCCTTCTTAATCGGAAGAAACAAGGAAATGTCTATGTGAAAAAAGATAGATGAACAAATTAAAGGAGAACACCAATTGGTGTATATTAGATTGGACGTAAGAGAACCAACAGGACAAAGCATGTTTTATCCTCTTGATGCAAAAAATGAAATTGAACACATTTTTAGTTATTGAGATCTCACTTATGCTCTATAGATCGACTTACTTCTTGGTCACGGTATTGTGGTTGAGTTAACATCCTTTTCCAAGTGTTTTGTACATGTTTTTATAGGCTTAACCCTAATTCTGGCCGGACTATGCAAAGGATGAAATTTTTAGGAAAATCCAATAAGTTGCATTATCCATGGATTGCATGTTGTCTTGAGGGTATATTTTACTAGGCCGTACAACAAAGCCAATATAGAAGCAGAACAGGCCCTGTAAGAAACTTGCTATGAACAAAAGAAGAAATAACATGAAACTCATATTTCCTAAAACAGGATGAAGAAGCTGACTAAGAATTGGAACATGTCCTGTTATTCTCCGCTGAGCAAACACAAAAAGTTACAATTGTTGTCTCACAAACGATCTATTGAAAATCTGGTTATCATGTGTCCCGGATGTTTGTAATATGTTTTTCATAACTAAACCCATATGTCATCTAGTCATTGTTACAGAATCTCCGATCTTCTCCTCCATTCAGGTTTGTCATTGCCTTAAGAGAAAGATTTTGGATTAGTTTTTCAACAGTATTGCATTTGATTTGGCAAAACAGTCTCGTTGTTGGTTGCAATACGGTGAATTTGGGCAATCGAAGAAAATATGTGCAATACCCTCCATAGGGTGAGAACATAAATGCATTACATCGCCCTAGCACTGCAAAATATGGAGGATATACGGCCATTAATGACCATCTAATCATGGAAGCACAAACACAAGATAAACGATTATCTAGGACATGCCCATTAAACCACACTGCCTACTACCTCGGTACTCCTAGTCATGTCAGATTCCCAAATAGTTCTAGCTTGCTGTCTATTCAAAACCTTGTCAAAAGATGGTCATCTTCATGTGGATTATTGGGCAGAGGTAGGGGAAGAGGGGAAATCCCTCATACACATTGATAAAAAAATAAAAAAATAAAAAATAAAAACTAGTTGAGTTACATCTTGGTTGAATAGGTTTTTGGCTTTTGAGAAAAATCTTGTTATTCCACCCAATCTTGTTTGATATTAACCTATATGGGCTGCTCACTGTCTCTAGCCCAAAAGTGTTGAAAAATATAGCTGGTTGTAACCAAATGTTTATGGAATGGCCGAATGGGGATGAAGGATGATATAGCACCCCCACAAACTCAATGTGACATGGTTTCATCTTATTGATAATAGAGGGGTGGTTTACGTGACAAAAAAATAAATTAACCAAAATAAAGCCCAGACTATCACAGAATACTGCAGATTATTTAGGTTCAACCTCAGTTGACATGGGCTCGCAGTAAATACAAGTGTGTGGCAAAATAACATTTGGCAGGCCTAGAAGAAGGTATTGAGGTCATAGATCCAACTCCTGCCTTTTGGAAAGCTATGACTCGTTGGTCTCATTCATATTAACATGGAGGGATTGTAAATTCACAAATGAGTTTATCTTGAGGGAAAAAACAAATTCTTGATTTTTTCAGAAGTCTCTAACATAAAGATAGCATTGTAGATTACAATATTACATTACATGTAACATGTAGTTCTAATAATCAAATAGAAAACATCATGTATTTTAAATATCAAACTTATATTGCATTACTATGTAGTACAAACTTTTATATAAAAATTGCAGTGATTGTGATCCAATTGTTAACTACTTTCTCCGCCATAATACCTGCTCCTACTTGCTGCCAACGAAATTTTAACCAAGAACAAGTCTGCTGGGACTATTAAGGAAATGTCTAGAATACCCAATGCTGGAACTAACAAGATCTTGATACAACATATTATGTGATGATGATAACAGGTAATATTCGCTTGAAAATTCTCCACAAAAGAGAAAACATTCAAATAAATTTGAATCTAAAAATGGAGGCTGTTGCAATTTGAATTGGGGTTAAGGTAGGTAGTACATAAACCAATTGGAATTTCTTCATTCACTACACTCCCTCCATGAGAGGGAAGGGATACATTTCATTTTATCCTTTTCAACATTAAAATTGATTGATGTATTTTAAAGTTCTAAAAAACAATGGAAAGCTTACTTGAGAGAGCCAAGCGGTGACATCACTGCGACAAAGGGAGGTCGAAACAACCTTGATCCGTATTTCAGACGGTTGCGGTGGACTCACTTCCACCTCCTCCATCACCATTGGTTCCCCTGCTCCCCATGCCACCGCAGCTGCAAAAAGGTAGTTAAATTTTCCTTCATTACCAACCACATAGACCAGTACTACTACTTAACAAAAGAAACCAATTAAAAAAATGAATGGAAGACCTTTGCATTTGATGACTCCTCCAGGGTTTTTCACGAAGCTGGAACTTCTTGTGGTTGCTGATGACATATTTTCTTGGTTCAATTTGAATCTCAACGAGGGTCAGTAGCTTTATTCGTCTGGTGGAAGGTTGGTAGCACATCTGGTGACTGGGGGTAGGTGAAGTTAGAGAAGTAGCAACAATGACGTAGGAAGATTATATGCATTTTTATAAGAAATTTTGAGAAACTGGAATCGCATTTCCATCGGTGGGAAGGCTAATGATACGGATACTAATGGCACCCTAACCTTTAGGCAATCATTTTATTTCATTTTTTTTTTACTTTTTGTTTTTTCTTATTTAAATATATACACACACATTGATTTTAATTAATTTAAATTATTAATTAATTTTTTTAGTTTTTTTTTCTCTTATTTATTTATATTATATTTGAATAT